CAAGGTACTTCTTGTATAATTTTGTGCCTGTCTAGTACTAGAAATAATAATATGTACTTCGGTTGTGGAGGACTAGAGTGGTAATAATAACAGAAATGGTCTCGCCGAGTGTATCTTTCGGTCTGTTTATGTTACAGAATGAAACGGAAACAGAGACCCATGCGGTACTACTTCTCCGAGAGTTTGAAGCTAATGGACCGATACGGAAAATGACCTGACCCTTGGCGACTTAAGGGTACTTCCAAAAATCGTATAGATAAAAAAAACTGTAAAGCCCTTGAGGGTTCTGAAACTATACCGGGTGTTCCAATGAAGTAACTCTTTTACATACGTATAACACAGTAGAAGGAAATGTTTCAAAACATATCAACATAACAAAATGATACAAACTTAAAAGTTTGAATAATACCGGGTGTGCTTCTCGAAAGTGGCTCACCCCTATAACTTTTTTATTTCTTCAGATTTTTTATTTCTTACGATATTTGGTATGTTAGTATATGACATAAATTAGGATTGATTGACCTATTCAATTTTTTTTGCTCATTTCCTGTTTCACCGGAAATGACTACGACTTTTGATTTTTAAATGGCACCCTCGGTATTTTATTACTTTATTCGATAGAAAATGACACTCTGAGTAGAATGACATATATCATATGTCAACTTTTGACATTTTTGCTTATAAAAAAAAATTAATTTAGTGTGCCATGGCTGTGTTAAAAACACGAATTTTTAGTCAAGGAGCTTTGGAAAATTAGATTTGATCGTCTAATGTTTTTCGTGTCTTGTCCTGGACGGTTAAAAGATCCCAAATCGTATTTTTAATCATATCTCAATTTTTTCAAATGGAACAAGGGTGTATCATTAGCATATTTGGAAAAAGCATTTTTTTACGAATAATTTGGTACCATACACTTGGTATTTCGCGTCAAATTGTCGTTATGAACCGCATCTTTCAATTTCAAATAAACCATATTGGAAAATGTCAAAAGTTGACATATTATATGTCATTCTATTCAGAGTGTAATTTTCTATTGAATAAAGTAGCTGTCTAAATTAGTAGCTGTCAAATTTATGTCACATACTAACATACAAAATCTCGTTTTTTTATCTGAAAAAAAAAGTTGTAGGGTTGAGCCACTTTTGAGACGCACCCGGTATAGATTTTCTAATCATATACAGGGTGGTGTTAAGACTAACGGTATAAACCATATAAACGTATCGTCTTAAAATGCTTCGTTTCGGAGATACAGAGGGTGTAGAAATTTCATTTTTATTTGTTTTTTTTTCTAAATAATAGGAACTCATTGCAATTCATTAGAGCAATATATGATTTTATATTATGTTTGTAAATAATAAATTCAAAAAGTCATATTTCTAATATTTAATCAAGATTTAAAAAAATCAAAAAAAGGTTTACCAAAAGGACTGGCAGGTAATAAAAGTAATGACAGACTAGCCATTTAACTAAAAACGCCCCAGGACAGGCGCCAAGATTTTTTTATTAGCATCAATCTGACGTCTAAAAATAAAATAGAACAAGGGTAAAATGTCATAAAGACAAAAACTGTACTACCTGTAACCGGAAAAAGTCAACGTCTGTATATTTAAAAAGGGCACAGAAATGGTACTTATTTTTCTATGCTAATCTCAAATATCTCGTGCCGCAGACGACAAAAGTAAAGTACCTGTAAAGAGGTATCATGGGAGTACACAAAAACGATTTTAGAGATTTAAGCAAACAGTAGAACCAAGAAAATAAGTAATTTGTTATAAGAAGATCTGTAATAAAGTAGAGATTATACAGGGTGGCCATCGAAAGCGTTCCGCAAGGCAAAACGGCCAGGGTATTTTTTTTTTTTTTTAAAATTCAAAAACACGTCAATTTTGTTTGTGAGGGGGACAACTTTTGCCCCAAAATGATTGCAAAATCTTCAACCCTCTAAGCGGGGGTGGCATCCCCCAACTTTTTTCAAATGGGAAGGGGGTCAAGTGGCGCCGCAATGAAAAGGGCTTTTTATTCTCTATACTTTCCCGCTTCGTCTTTGAAAATCGGTCGAGTCATTGAGAAAATATGAAGGATTAAAATTTAAAAAGTTTATTTAAATTTTTATCAGAGTAAATGATAAGGATAAATTCCTTCGACCAATTTGCTGTTTTTTTCTTATTATTTCCAGATGTTTACGCATTTTTTCACTTGTTGCTAGATAGCTGTTCTGTGACCTGTGCGTTGAAGTTCTTCTCAATATCGTTAAACTGACCCACAATAGAATTTCCAAAAATACCAGTACACACGTTTAATTTCTGAGGGTTTTGCGAAAAACCCTGAGGTTGTCCTCAACCCATTACCGACAATTGTGCCGATTAATTACACCGTTCAAAAAGAAAGTACACTCATCCGAAAAACACACATTAAATAGGAAATTATTATCATTCGCTACTCGTTCACTCATAGTTTCACAAAATTGCAAGCGACGATCAAAATCGTCTTCGTTGAGTTCTTGTACCAACTGAATTTTGTACGGGTGGAACTTGTGTTTTTTTAATATCTTTTGGACACTTGTACGAGTCATGCCGACCTCATTGGCTAATTTTCTTGTACTCAGCGTACTATCCATGGCAACTTGGCCCAATACGAATACCTCCATAGCTTCATTTACTACAGGATTTTTCCCCTGCCTCCTTTTATTCATAACGAAACCAGTTTCGCGAAATTTTGCTACTAACTAGCGAACAATTTTGCCATAAAGGTGTTTGTCAGGATGGCATTCATTGAATATCTGCACAACCCAATACATTACATAATAATTACATAATTAATTATTTTTAAAATAAAGTTCGATTATTTCCACTTTTTATGCAAATGAGTATACCATAATTGTTAAACAGTTTAACGATATTGAGAAGAACTTCTACGCGCAAGTCACAGAACAGCTATCTAGCAACTACCGCACCTGGGGCCTGTAACACAAGCCCTACAAGTGCTACTCTTGTACGCTTTTGGATAGAGACTTGTAAAGTTTCGTAACACACGGCTTTCGTAACACAAGCAACTTGTATAGTCTCTCCAACGAGAAGATCCTTGACAGTGATAGATGTGTCTGTCATTTTAATTTCAAAGTAGTTATTTTATTTTACAAAGAAATAAGTTGGTACTGGAACGCATAGCAGGAAATTATTATATTTAAAATTTGACTGACAAGTGATTACTTCAAAATATTGTGAAAAAAACTGTATAAAACTGAAAAAATGTAATCGAGTTATTTAATTTAATAAAAAACGGTATGTGTTAATACAAAACAAAAAAGAACAAGACACCACATACCAAAAAATATAAAAAAGAACTATTTCTTACTTTCAAGCTTTATGAAACTTCCCGCATTTATGATTATATTTATCACTATAACTTATGTATACATACAAATTTGTAATATTCAGCAGGAATAAATAAAACAACATAAATAAAACAAACTATTTTATTATTAATAACACTTACCAAATTTTATAGGTACCTTAAAGGTTGATTAATTAACTTTAATCTTAATTTTTTAAACCAGTACCTTTGGCATTATTTTTCTTGTGCAGTACTAAATCCGTTATTTACGTATCGTGTGATGTCGATATTTTACAGCTACCTACTCCAGTTTTTAGTATGTGTTTAGTATGGTCCTTTTACCATATTCGAGATGCACTTATCTACGACGAGATGGTATACGAACTTTAATGATGGTAACTTTATTGGTGTATAAGAGTTCAGCGAGTATTATCCATAAATTGTGCTCTGGATCTACAGTTAATTTTCACTCGATTTTTCCTCCACTTGATTTCAAAAGACACAAAACACACGTAATAACAGGAATCAAAATGCATCATCTTCCAAAACGCAGGGTATTTGACAAAACTGACAAAAGTTGACACAAACTTATAACCTCTAATTTAGCAAGACTTTGACAAGCGTCAAAAATTTAAAGGCGAGTTCATACGCATCGGCGTCCGTTTGTCGTTCATCGTTCCGTCAAACCAATAAAATTGAAATACGATCTGTCATTTTTGAAATAAACCAATAAAACTGGTTAAAAACAACAAGAGACGACGCATGACGGATTTATATTTAAACCCATCCATAGTTAACTTAAAAATTATTGGAAACTTTTTTTAGTAAAATAAATATATTGGTATGGGACGTCATCTGCTTTTCTTCTGTCATCGTCTGTCGAAATCTTACCTGAGAAAAAGAACAGTTACGGAAAATATTTTACAATTGTAGTTCTGTTCTGTAACTCAAAGATAACACTTGTAAGTTTATGTTAGGCATTCCATTGCAATTGTAGGAAAATGTTAACCATGCTTAAAAGGTGGGTACAAAATCCTACAAGAATCAGTTTAGAAGAAGTCGTTGCTTTATTCACACGTCTCGCGCAATGTGGTCAAGTTCAAGTGATGACGAAAATGAACCTCGTTTGCTATATCGATTCAGAGAGAGAACTGACTTTGCATTCCTTTCCGATAAAGAATTTGAGGAGCGATTTCGACTAAGTAGAGCGCAATGCCAGGATCTCGTAGAAGACCTCTTCCCGGCGCTACAAAAACACCAGTAATTACAAAAACAGCAGTAATCGGTGGTATGGGCTGCAGCCTCTACAGAAAATGTTGATTGCACTACACTGGTCAGGCAATGGGGGACAAATTTTTCGCATTATCCAATTTTAACTCAAATAGGAGATACAAAAAAAGAATACATATCTATTTTTCTAGATACCAACAAATACTCCGTTCTTCAGCGATAAATGAAAAAGAATCAAATGGCCAAGCTTTCACTATACTATAGTCATAGTATATGTATGTGCAAGCTATTAGGAGCCTAATTGATTATGAATTAGTAGGTATTTTTTTGCAAAACACTCTATGATTATAACATACAACAGATACGCGATTAGACGCTTTCTATTTTTGTAATTTTGAGAATCTGTTTTAATCCAAAATACAACATAAAACACTTACCACTGCACTCTTCTTTAGATTTTGCCAAAGGGTATCTCTTGCATATGTCCTTGCATATGCTTTGAGCAAGAGAAGCTACCTCTTTCCATTGCTTCACCTTGTCTTCTTTTCGAAGAGTATCCGAGAATGCCCCAAAAGAACCTCTTTATTTTCTTTAATTTGCATAAGCCATTGCATTTTTCTAGCAAACACCACTTATTTCGAAGACATTTTTACCAAAATTAATTTTAGAACGAACTTGTCTTAACAAGTCTTTTATCCCCATCCGCAATAATACACAAACGAACGTTTACCGATCTAGAGCGTCTGTCCTACAACTCTTGTGCACTTTAGCTACACTTGTTAGAAATATTCGCCGTTATTACAAGTCATTTTGAGAACTTTGTGTTACAGAAATTAACAGGAATTGTAGCTACAAGTGAATCTTCAACAAGTTCTACACTTGTTACAGTTGTAGATTTTGTGTTACAGGCCCCTGATCGTTCAACCTTGTGGCAAGTGAAGAAATGCGTAAACATCTAGAAATAATAAGAAAAAACAGCAAATTGGTCGAAGGAATTTATCCTTATCATTTACTCTGATAAATGTTTAAATAAACTTTTCAAATTTCAATCCTTCATATTTTCTCAATGACTAGACCGATTTCAAAAACGAAACGGGAAAGTATAGAGAATAGAATGCCCTTTTCATTACGGTACCACTTGACCCCCATTCCGGTTTGAAAACAATTGGGGGATGACACCCCCGTTTAGAGGGTTGCAGATTTTGCAATCATTTTTGGGACAAAAGTTGCCCCCCTCACAAACAAAATTGACCTGTTTATGAATTTTCTGAAAAAAAAATCACCCTGGCCGTTATGCCTTGCGAAACGCTTTCGATGGGCCACCCTGTATATGCTTGTGATTTATAAATTATTGGTTTGATCTTTCTCCAGTTGATCTGGTTAGACCTTTTATTAAAGACATTATAGTCCTTTTGTTATAGACATCAAACTCTTATAAAGTTTATGATCTTTTCAGTGGCGTAGCAAGGCGGGGGCGGTGGAGGCGGGCCGCCCCGGACGGCGACTCTCCAAGTACCTGCGGGGCGACAAAAAAATTTTTATAAAGGCGGCGAACGGATTCTGTAGGGGCGGCAAACCTCCCTCCTAGAGGCTCTCCGCCCCGGGCGCCCCTAACCAACGCTACGCCACTGGATTTTTTGACGGGTTATCTTTCACACAAAGGCAAATCAAATTAAAAAATTGGCGCCGGGAGGCACGTATATCCGCCCATACTAAAATATGTTAATATCTCGAAAACTGCGACTTTGACTGATTTTGATGTTATTGCAAATTTTGTTGCAAATATTATTCCTAATCTTAATTTGAAAACCGCGTTTCGCTAGCTACTGTAATTTTGGAGTTACGATTTTTTTAAATTTTTAACCCCCTCCTATACCCCATTACCAACCCCCCACCCCCACCAAAAACTAATGGCCACATTCTCGGGTGCCACAGTATTTTTGTGCCAAATTTGGTTAAAATAGGTTCTGCGGTTTTTGAGTTATCGTGTTACAGACGGCAGACAGACAGACAGACACCACGAAAATATTTTGTAAATTGTACTGAAGCTGTGGTTGGTTCCATGTGAAACATCGTTGAAATATTAGTATTTTAATAAAGCACGCTTTTAGATGTTTCAAAAAACTTTTAATAAGAGTAACTTTAACTCTACATATATGTTTCGGCTTGTTAGGCCTCTTTCAAGAGTTTTTTAAGAACTATTCGTCTAACTACACTGTAACTATATATATTATTTGCTATGGGGGTGGGTTCAGAGAGTTTACAATAGGGGTAATAAAAAATGTGTTTAGAAATCCTTGTTGGTCGTTAACATTATTTTCGTTTTTAACAGATTTTAGTATTTCTAACTGTTCAATGTAATTTAAGCGTCTACCTTTTGTTTCTCTGTGTAGTAACTTAATTGAGTTTTCATTAATTTTGTGATTATTTACTATACAATGAGTTGCAAGACCAGAACTATGCTGGAGATTATTAGTATACTTTACATGTTCTTTAATCCTTATATCTAAATTTCTACCTGTTTGGCCTATGTACACGGCATCACAGTATTGCAATCCACCCTATATACACCCGACTTATTTTTGACATTAGTTTTGTCTTTATTATTTAATAAAATTTGACCTAAATTTCTTTTATTTACGTTAATAGTTTTACATCCTATTTTATTGAGATTATTTGATATTTTGTTAGTTAAATTAGGAATGTAGTTTAAAGGTTGATAATTGTTATTGTCTTTAGAATTAGCGGATTAAAAATTTTTCATTAATATTTTGTTTTGTTTTTTCTTTAGCATATTATCAATAAGGGAACACTTATATCCATTGTTGATGGCGATCTGTTTAATAATATTTAACTCTTTTTTAAAATTCTCTGGGCTCAGTGGAAACATTACTAATCTATGAATTAAACTATGAAAGGGTGACATTTTGATTTGCCAGGATTGGTGTGATTGACTATGTATTACAGTGTCTGTGGTAGTGGGTTTCCTGTAAATATCAAATTGTAATCTATTAGACTGTTTTATAATTGTAACATCAAGAAAATTGATGGTATTAATACCTTTTTCAATAGTAAATTGTATTCTGGGTTAATTGAATTTAATAATGTTAAAAACTGTTTAAATTTCTCTCGGTGCCTGACCAAATACAAAAAATGTCATCTACATATCTTGCCCAATAATTTATTTTTGATATTAAACTACTCTTGTTTTTAAATAGCTTCTTTTCAAAATCTGCCATAAATATTTCTGCGAATAACGGTGAAATTGGGGAACCCATCGGTAACCCATCTTTCTGTTTAAATATTTCATTGTTATACTGAAAATAGTTTTGTTCTAAACAAGTTTCAATTATTGTTATTAAATCTGATTTTACTATTATATTAAGATTAGATTTATCAATTAGTTCATAAATAATAGAGGACAATTCATGGGTTGGGATAGAAGTGAACAGGCTTTTGACATCGAAAGAAACGAGTGTTGCATTATGTGGAACTTCAATATTTTTCAAATTATCTAGCAACTCAAAAGAATTCTTTAAGTTTTTTGAAACATCTAAAAGCGTGCTTTATTAAAATACTAAAATATTTTGTATTTAGGTCATTTATGACCGAAATAACTCATTTTGAGTGAAATTAAAAAAACTTTTTTTTTGCCGATCCTTATAGCCTACCATACCTATTGGTATGGTCGGCTAAAAATATATATATATACCAAAAACACTAATTTATTTACACCCTGTATAATAAATCGAACAATCCAACATTACCTCACATATTTTACACATTTTCTCTATTTCATTAAGTCGAAAATTAACGAAAGTATTTCAATTGCATTTTCAAAATTGTTGCTGACGCATTATGTAAAATAGGAAAAAATGCATTTTGTTATTAATAAATTCCTTGACCACGGCGAAAGAAACAATATTGGCCCAATTAAAATCATCGAAAAACGGCGAGGCAGACAGTGGCAAAAAGGAATTTGTATTAAATCATTTTGCATAACTTTTCAGTTACATAAGCAAAGTCGTTCAATTACAAACAGATGGATTGGATCGATTTCATTTTGAATTTGACGCGGTTTTCGGTCAATTTGTATGTTTACTTTCTTCTAATTTACAATGAAGTAATTTAACAACTTTTTATATTAATATAACAAATTTAAAATACAAAAAATTAATTTAGAAAAAAATATTTGGGTAAATTGGTTTCTGGGATCAGAGAAATAAACAAAAATAGAGGCGTTTTGGAAACTTGTTTTGTAGTTGAGAGATCACAAGCTTTTAAGAAATGAAATAAAAAAACAGGTCTATTTAAAAAAAATAAAGTTAATGATAAATAATAAAAGTCAATGTACAAAGAGTGTTCTTTAATTTTAATTCATTTTATAGTAATAAGTTATTAAGCTATATTGTTTTTTTTTGTTTCAGACGATTTAATAAGCTTTCTGGAGGCTTTTCTTGGACTTTTTTTGTGCTAAAAAGTCTTCTTTGTTGGATAATATTTTTGTTGCTGTTGTATATCTGTACAGGGTGTCTCACTAAGAATAGCTCTCGGCTGTATCTCGGAAAGTATTAGTGATATATTTTTCAACAGTTCTTTTTTCATATTACAAAGATGATTGTTATCAACTATATGAGTAATATTACTAGTTACCTGATTACATACTTTTTCTGATTCACCTTTTTGTTTTGTTTGTTCAAATGTCTGTAATTCAAAAACAGCAAAAAGGTTCAAATTCACTGTCCCATTGTACCAATATTTTCTAAAATAATACATTTTATATACAGAGAAGACCAGGCTACTAGTAACATAGCAAGTTGCCGGACGAATTGGCGTTTACCCGATTGCGTTCGTACTCGAGATTCACTGCCGGCTAGTCGGCTGGTCAGGCAGTACGCAGTTGCAGTTGTGCTTGGACGGGTCGGGTCGGACTAGGAATACGACGCGAGGAGTGCCGAGTAATTATAATTTTCATTTTAAGTGTTTACCTTCACTTAAGGAAACATTTAAAATAAAAATACTTAAATATTTATTAATTGAGTGTGTTTACAAGCCAAAACTAAAAATAAATAAATTCTCTAAACCCAAAACTCATTTCCAAAATTAAAAAATACATCAATAAAATTAAAAAAAAACTAAAATATTACTCTAAATAAAAAAAAGTTATAACAAGTGTTCAAAAAGGCCACCTTGTTGTGCTAGACAGAAGCCTAGGCGGTCATAAAATCCCCGTCTGACATTGGCTAACATATTAGGGCTAATAGTTTGGAAAGCCTCTCGTATTTTTACTTGAAGCTCATCCAGATTATTAGCCCTATTATGACCATACACTTTGGATTTTACATAACCCCACAAAAAGAAATCATTGGGAGAAAGATCTGGTGATCTAGCGGGCCACAAAATAGTTCAATTTCCACTAATTAAACGGATGGGAAAGGTATTGTTTAAATATTCTTGAACAATACGGGCATTGTGACCAGGGCAACCATCTTGTTGAAACCAGACATTGTGGAATCTTTCTCCCAATAACTCACGAATTCTAGGGACAATCTGCTGCTCTAACAAGTCCAAATACTTTGCAACAGTTAATTTACTCTCTATAAAAATGGACCAATCATATGCTCCCCTATAAAACCATCCCAAACATTTAGCTTTTGAGGATATTGCGTGCGTACCTCAAAATATCTGTGCAAATCTTCCCG